AGTTTAGTTTTTTAATTTTATTTTTTTTAATTTAGACAAATTGGTTATTGTCTTGATAAACGGAAGCCGAAGTGAGCTCAAGACCTCTCTCCTTGTCTCGTTGTCACAATTTCCTTACTGAAAAAGCTCCAGACCCAATTGCAGTGAGAGCCACCAGCACCCCGGGGAGCCTTCACACTATTGTCAATACTAGTAGGGAATGGAACAGCCATCTTCACTTGATACAATGAAGAGAAGACACCACAGAGCAGACGGTGAAGGACCATCCCAGCCTTCCAGCATCGAGAGAGAAGCCCCAAAGCAAAGCTAAGCCCAGATGGGGAGAGGAATTGGCGAAGATCAGGGGCCTATTGCATGAAATGAGCTCATATGAAAGGAGCAGAATCATGAGCTGGAGGGAAGAACAGGATCAGCAGAGGCACAGAGAAAAGATGAGAAATGCCAAAGTCAGGCTGGAAAGGTACCATATACTCATGCAATAAAGGGGGTCCGGGGATGACGTAAGTGATCACGAGCCAGCGAAGAGCTCTCTGGGATGCGGAATGACTCCTGTGACCCTCATTTCAGCCAACATACCAGGTGGAAGCCCAGGATTGTGTCATTGGTTGACTTTCTGAGATCAGTAATTTCTAACACTTGACTCTCTCAGGCTAAGGCAATTATAAAGAACAAAATAAAACAAAACTCCCTAAAGAAACATGAAAAAAATACATTAGAAAAAGCAATCTTGGTTATTAGAAATTTGGGTCTGGATGGGCTGCCATTTGTGAGAGCTATTCTTTTTGACAACTAGGAATTTTAAAATGTTCTGAGGTAACTATAGTGAATGGCATTAGGCCTCACAATCAGCTTAGCATAAGCACAGCTGTGTTAACCACTTCCTCACTCTGCCCCCTGCGCCCTCCCTATCTCTTAAAGAAAATGCTTTCTGAAAAAAAATGGATTTTGTGCAAAGCAGAATCTTGTGCAAAACAGGAAAACCACAGAACTCTTACAAAGTGCTAAATGCTCAGAATAGCTATCCAACCTAATTCAAAACCTATAAACCTCCTAATTAGTCTATGTGAGGCAGGGAATAGAGCTTTCACTCTCCCCTCCAGGTTTGCTGGAAATAAACTCCCTGACGTGGTAAACATTTGGCCCAGAGTCCTTTAATCTCTTTGTCTCACCCACCTACCAAATGGTATCCCCCAAGGGATCCACCTTCTCCTCCTCAGGTCAATAGCTTATTAATGGTCAAGACAAGGGAATTGGGAATACATAGTAGGTCTATAAGTGAAATTGAAATCAGTAGAATTGCCAATACTCAGAGAGACAGGAATAAATTTCCAGTTGACCTCCAAATAGTGGCAACATAGGACTACAGAATCAAAATAAAATAAAATTAATTCATCCAATATTTATTGATGCCTACTATGCACCTGACCTCGCAGTGGCCTCAGTTCTGGGATCCAGTGATGAACAAAAAAGGGGAGGCACTCGCTTCAGTGGAACCTACATTCTATTCTGCAGAGATGAACAACATGCAAATAAATTGATAAAAAAAAATATAAGTTATTGTAAACAGAGCTGCAATGAATATGGGAGTGCAACTCTGTTTACAATAGCCAAGATGTGGAATCAACCTAAATGTCCATTGATGGATGATTGGATAAGAAAAATGTGGTATATATACACCATGGAATACTACTCTGCCATAAAAAAGAATGAAATTATCCCATTTGCAGCAACATGGATGAGCTTGGAGAGACTTATGTTGAGTGAAATAAGCAAAGCACAGAGGGATAAATACCACATATGCNGTTCTGAGGTAACTATAGTGAATGGCATTAGGCCTCACAATCAGCTTAGCATAAGCACAGCCGTGTTAACCACTTCCTCACTCTGCCCCCTGCGCCCTCCCTATCTAGTAAGGAAAGTGCTTTCTGAAAAAAAATGGACTTTGTGCAAAGCAGAATCTTGTGCAAAACAGGAAAACCATAGAGCTGTTACAAAGTGCTAAATGCTCAGAATAGCTATCCAACCTAATTCAAAACCTATAAACCTCCTNCCTCGGGCGGGAGCACCACTGCGCTTCCCAAGCGGCGCACTATCCAGTGCGCCACTGGGCCAGCCCTGCATATGCATTTTTAATAAAGTCAATATTATATTCTAAAACAATATATGAGTTAGAAATAACTGTCATAAAGATAATTAAAACAAAGTGATCTGATAGTGACCAAATAGCTACTTTGCATCGATGATTTAAGAAAACCCTCTCTGAGGAGGAGACATTTGAACTGAAATCTGAGGGATAATAAGGAACTAGCTATGCATAGAACCAGGGGAGAAATCTAATGTGAAATAAGGCTGTTCTATGCAAGAACAGAGAGACCATCAGCAACTATAGCTCAGTGTGAAAGGGAATGAGTAGAAGGAAACGGAATCAGAAAATAAGGCAGAAGCCCGATCATGAGGGACCTTGTTTACAATTAAAAGTAGAGAGATATGATTTGATTT